AAAGAAAATGTATGGTTTTATGTATATTTCTGAAAAGACATATCAATCACATAATTGACAAAAAATATGTTAGCAAATATTTAGAAGTAAAGATTTTACTTTATCATAGTATTAAATAAATAAGAAAAGAAAAATAAATTTAGGAACAAGAATGAAGAATAACCAAAAATATATTAGAGCATTAAGGAATTCTAAAAAAATAATGCTCTCATTTGCAATGTTTCATTACTTTTATACTGAAAAATTGTCCTTTCCTCCCCTCCCCCCCCCCATTTAAAGATCAGGTTGATCATCACATATTTTTTCTAATTTTAAAAATGTGTGGGGCACCTGGGTGGCTCAGTCTGTTAAGCGTCCCACTACAGCTCAGGTTATGATCTCACGGTTTGTGAGTTCGAGTACTGTGTAGGGCTCTGTGCTGACAGCTCAGAGCCTGGAGCCTCCTTTGGATTCTGTGTCTCCCTCTCTTTCTGCCCCTCCCCAGCTCATGCTCTGTCTCTCAATAATAAATAAATGTTTTTAAATTTTTTTAAAAAGAATTTAAAAGTGTGTGTGTGTGTGTGTGTGTGTGTGTTGCTAATTCTTTGGACTACTTAAAAATATTTTGATATGTGTGTGTTGGAAACTGCTATTTGTATACCCATATCCACCCATATGTGTGCATAATTGTAGAAAACACATAGCTTTTCAACTAGAGAATCCATTTCTAAGTGTGCTTTGCATCAGCTTTGTCCATGTGACTAAGTCATTACCAATGGATGATGGGTAGAGGTGATGGGTCCCATATCCAAACTCCCTGTGTCTGTGAATGCATTCTTCCTCATGTGTGTCCTTCTCCCTTTCCATGAACTAGCAGATAGGAATGTAAGAATATTAATACTCCAAGCTTTGTCCAATCAAATAAGAACAAATTCCAGGAGACAGACAATGGGAAAATTGTGAGTCCTTGATTCCTTAACTGATTGTTTTATTTTTGTTGGAGTAGTGGGACTGTTTGTTACAGTAGTTTATTCTTTACTCCAACTACTATGTTCTATAAAGCAAACTGATTTTTCTCCTACAGAGCCAATGAAATTGTTAGGCAGTATAAATTGAATTTCCTTCTTTTGAATTTCCAGCTTTGATATATTAAAATCTTATATATTCGAATGTATTTTTCTGAGTTATCTATGCTACTCTGATATGTTTCATTCCCTTTTTTCTTTAAAAATTTTTTTAATGTTATCTTTATTTCTGAGAGAGAGAGACCGCGTGAGCAGAGGAGAGTCAGAGAGAGAGGGAGACACAGAATCTGAAACAGGCTCCAGGCTCTGAGCTGGCTGTCAGCACAGAGTCCTACGTGGGGCTCGAACCCACAAGCCATGAGATCATGACCTTAGCTGAAGTCGGACGCTTAACGGACTGAGCCACCCAGGTGCCCCACTTTTGTTTTCTTAAGCTCAAGAAAAATGTATGACCAAAGAATCAGGGAATCTCAGAGCTTAGTGGAACTTAGTGGCCATTTGGTCCACAATTTCCTGGCTGTTAAAAAAATAATAATGTCTGCAGGTTAAGAATAGATATTTTTCTAAAAATAAAGAGTAAATCAAAGAGTTTCTATGATTAATTAAGTTTTGGACATTCTGTGTACTGCTTTTCTCTTCCAAAGATTTACAGAATATATTAGGATATCAAAGGTTTTGTAAAATCCTACAATAACTGAGTATTTCTCAAATGCATATAATTATTATACTCATTTTAAATAGGGCACATTTCAATAACTTGAGAAGTGCTGGCATTCCACCAAACATTGTGAAACACAGATAAATTCTTGGTATCACCCCACATGGCATCTTTTATATTATATCTAGCTCCTACTAAGAGATGTCTAATACCAAGGCATTCCATGGCTTTTCACTTTCCATTACTGGATTATCCTAACTGTTGGACGTGTCTTTGTGATGGGCTTATAAAATATATGAAATACAAGTTGAATGATGTTGGAAAAAAATAAAGTTTCTCACATAAGCATAATCCCTCTTAGATGGTCAATGAGAAATAAGATTATTGTTTTTCATGACAGAGAGTAGATGCCAAAACGGAGGCAGATTATCAAAACTCTTTGCAATAGGTGGGTTCTAATGCTTAATTACATGAAGACTAGAAAATAGTGGATGTTGAATCTATTCCCACATGCTCTCAGAAGGGCATCGAATGGCCCACATTTGTTTAAAAGGCGGGGATGCCTCTGTATGGTGATTCATTCTGCCCTCTTTGCTCCTTCATCCTAAACCCAGGAGTCTTTGCTTTACATCTCATCTCATCATTTATTTTCTTCTCCAGTTCTTAAAATTATTTGTACTCTTGGAACCCATGTGTGTTTTTCTAATCTCCTTCAGCCTTTCCAGGCTGTGAATCTCTTGTAGGTTTGGATCTTGATACTGCTAAATCAGTGCTTTTGAAGTTCAGAAGCTTTTGCTCAAAATTAGTATCTTTTCCACATTTCTTAAAATCTTATTTGATGCCCAAAAGCTGAGCCCTTGAATCTCCATTTTTAGCTTATCCCCTATCACCCTTTTTCTGGGACATAATATCAAATATCCTAAAATCTATCTGAGTAGAAAGGAGAGTCACATGACAATCTGAAGACAGATATGTCTGGGGAAAGCTGTGCTAACACATATAGGCAAATATTATTCTCATAAATCTTATCATTAATTCATTTTATATGTACCTCTCAAATACAACTTCTGAAGTAATAGGGAAAAAAATTGAATATAGATACCCTATCCCATTCTTTCCCTGAGACCTCACATCCTCTCAATTACTTCTGACATGTGATCATTTTCACATTTTCTACTCTTATTTCTCATTCTAACCTAGGTGTTAAATGTATCTTTTTAGAATGCATGCTTCTATTAGTCCTATGCTCAAAGTATAGACATTCTTATAGAAATATAGTTGGAGAACTAGTGAGAAGGTAGCCCCACCTAGCTTTTATAAAAATATTTGACCATAAATGAGTCTGATCATAATTGTGACCATAATTTTTATTTTGGATGTGCTTTATCATTTCTAGGAAGTTTCATTTTAAAATACACATACTATCATGACATTCATAGCATGATGTTATTAATAATTTACTGTGGCAAAGATTTTCAGTGTTTTATTTTCTTTTTTCCTAGAACTGCAGGAACCTTGATGCTTGTTAGTTGACAAGAAGAAAAGGAATATGTATGCTGAGGGAGTGTGTTTGTTTTCTATTACAGCCATAACAAATTACCATAAACTTAGGCAGTTCAAATCAACACACATTTACTGTCTTATTGTTATATAGGTTAGAAGTTTAGCATGGGTCTTATTGGGTGAAAATCAAGATGTCAGGGGGGCTGTTTCTTTCTGGAGGCTCTAGGAGATAGTCCATTTTCTTGGCTTTTCAGGTTATTGGCAGAATTAAGTTTCTTGCATGTGTAGGACCTAGGTCCCGATTTCCTTGTTGGCTGTCAATTAAAGGTGATTTCCAGCTTCTCAGAAGTTGCCTTTATACCTGGGCTTATGGCTCCTTCCACGTTCTTTAAAGCCAGTAATGGTGAGTTGACTTCCTCTTATTCACTGAATCTTCTCTGTTACTCTCCTCCTCCATCTCTCTGACCAACTATTCTGTCTCCTACTTTAAGAGCCCATGTGATTGCACTGGACTCACTCACATAACCCAGTATAATCTTCATTTCATGTTAAAGTTTATTTTCCTTTTGCCATGTAAGGTGACATATTTATAGGTTCTAGTGATAAGGATGTGAATATCTTTGTGGGGGGGGGAGCAATAGTCTGCCTACTACGGAGGAAAAGGATACTATAACTTAATCAAAATTAGTATCCATCTGACACTCTATGTCCTAGGAGAAATATCTACGAGAGCCAAAATAGATTAAATTAGAATATAAGGCAATCTGAGAAGTTTTTCAAATAGGTTTAGTAATGTTACCTTAATGCTTGTGTTTTTGTTCTATTTAGAAAAAAAAAATGGGTAAGCTTTTCGTGTATCCATTCCAAGGCAGATAAAATTGTAAATATTTACTGAATCATTTTATTTTTCCCTAGAAACAGAGAAAAACTACATTTCTCAGTTTTCTGTATCTAGGTTGAGTTGGGCCATTTAGCTCTTGTTGTCCAATTGTATACTGGTGAACATGATGTGTGTCACTTCCAGACTTGAACAATTAAAACAAAAAGGCCACCCTTTTGCTATGACCAGGAAGGAAATTTGTCAAGGATGATGGCATCATACCAAAGGGTTTGGGGTCCTTGAATAACTGAACGGAACATTTCATCCTTCCATCCCTTGGGATATTACGCAAGTAAATAATCCACTTTATTGTGTTAAGCCTCTGAGATCTGAGGGTTCTTTGTTACAGTTTCAGCCTCTCTCACTCCTATCATCTGTCAAATACTTGCTGAGTGTACTAATTAACTAGGGCTGCTACAGGAAGTATCATAGTTTTAAACAACAGAAGTTAATTGTAGAGGCTGGGAATTTCAAGCTGAAGATGCCAGCCAACTCAGTTCCTGATGAGAGCTCTCAAAGAGCAGGCTTCTTGCTGGGTTCTCATGGTGGAGAGAAAGAGTTCTAGTGTCTCTTCTTCCTTTTTATAAAGGTACCAGCCTTATCAGTACCCCATCTCTAAACCTCAATGAACCTTAATTCCTCCTAAGAAGCATTATTTCCAAAAAGTGACATTGGACTTAAGGTTCAACATATGAATTTGGGCGGTATAAAATTCCGTCTGTAGTATAGAGCCTTTACTTTCTCAAAAATTCAGATCATAACTTATCAAATATGGGAAAGAGAAAAAAATTTGACCAATGGGCCCAGATTTAGCTACTTGGAAGTACTTTTTTAAAAATGACATTCCTGGTCTTACACCTGGAGTTAATGAATCAAAGTCTCCAATGACTTTAGAGGCCATCACATCCAACTTTCATATTGTCCTGATGAGAAAAAGAAGATTCAAGGTTCTTACCTCTTTACCCTGTTAGACTGCTGGTGTCACATTCAGCACTAGAATCCACATTTCTCAATTGTTAGACCACTGAAACTTCATTTCTTCCATATTGTCATTCTTAGCATTGAGAAGATATGTAAATAGAATTGAGAAGATATGTAAATTAAGTAGTTGGAAGCAAAAATATTTAAAAAACATTTTTCCTGAAATGTCCATAAATTAAATTCTAACTTGCTAATTTTAATCACACCTTCACCTCTGCCCGATTTTGCAAACACGAATGTCTAAATTAGACAGCTTCATGTCGTGAAAAGTATTGTGTGGGTTTTAAGCTACCTGAACTATAATGCGAATGATTTGTTAGAGTTCCAATCTCAATTCGTGGCATTTTGTGACTAATTGTTTTTCTCACTCTATCTCATCCCATGTAATGTTTGCTTACCCACAGAAATTTTATCAAATATTTGAAAAGCAGTTTTTGGAAAGAAGTATTTTTATCTTCAAGGAAGATACATTTGAGTTAATTGGAAACTGAGAAATGTCAGCAGTTGTCTTGCTGTTGAGTACGTGAGAAAAGACTATGTTGACTGCAACTGAGAGTCAGCATCCCCATCAGAGCTCACCCCCCACCCTGCTCCCACCAGAAATGTTTGTAGTGAATTTTATTTTCAGATATAAGGATTCATGACAGTGATCTGACATAATGTTTTCCAATAAGTTGCTTATGGAAAGAATTTCCACCTCTTACCAACCACTGTAATTTGCCACTTCAAAATAAATTAAGACATTGTTAAAAGTAATTCAAATATATAAAATTTATACACTGCATGCACACACACACTAGTTAATTTAAGTCTTAATGACAATATTCCCCTTGTAGTCTCAGTCAATGTGGAGGTATAAAAGGTACTACTTCTCTTAATAGCCAGATTATAATTTTATTTCTCCTCTTTTCCTATGTTTATCAAATTAGACACATAGGTGGTGGTTATATAATTGCTTTATGTCCAAAAGAAAAAAATGAGAAGGGATGTAGGATGTGGGTGAAGAGGGTAGGAAAAGAGTATATAAAATTATAGTTCTTCTATGTTTCTGACTGCTGATCACAGCCAGAATTTGTCTAGAAAGAGGTATTGCTTACGAAACTAGGCAAGTGAAAAATAACTAGTTTCATTAAAAGTAGCAGTAATGAAACAGTACCTACCTAGTATCGAATATATTTGTGTAGCATTGCGAACTGTCAGTATGGTTATATACAGCCATCCACAGGTTAGAAATTATGTCATGTTTTGTTCAAACCTGCTTAGAATTTAATCAAAGCAGCCAATCTCTATTAACCAAGAGATAATATTTTCTTATATCTCTTGGTTGGAGATGTAAGAAACCAAGGTTTTTGTTTTAGTAACTTGAAGGTTAGGAGAGGGAATGAAAGAAGGCTCCTCCCAGGTAAAACCACTGTCTCTCTCAGGGACTATTCTATTCTGTAGCCATAGCCAAGCCGCAAATCTGTGGGTCATGTAACTCTTGCTGTCCTACCCAGCACGTCTCCAAGAGTTCCCGGGTATTACAATGACCCTGATGTGGAAAATCAGAATGGCTGCTAAAACCTTCGGGGCTTTCAAGTTTTCTATATTGGTGGCTACCACCGAAACAAAGAACTAGTAGCCAACTCTCATATCATCTTAGATCCCAGCTCCACTATTTAAATTTTATTATTCCTAACCCAACTTGATCTTGGTTCACATCATAGCAAGTTCTAGCTGCTCCTGAATCAAGTTAGTGCCATGTTTGAGTCTCATTCTTCACAATTATTCCACAATAGTCTTCTTGAGGCTATTCCTTTAGTCTCAATGTTGCTAGACATCTAAGTCAAAGATGACTATTTTCTATAATAGTCATAATATGACTATATTCTGCTTCTCCTTCTTCTCCTTCTCTTTCTTCCTGTTCTTGTAAATGCAAAACGTTGATGTCAACTAATTGATTTTGTCTTTTGGGAACACTATGAAGAGAAATCTTGTGAGGGTCCAGTGTTGAAGAGAAGGCTTGTGAGGGTCCCAGTTGTCTGATGAATAAAAAATACATTTCATTAAGCATGGAGAATGTGTGACACAAATTTGCCATCCCAGTGTTGTACTTTCTCTTGAGTCTCTATTGAGATAATGCTATGGCTAACCAAGATTCATCCAGGACTACTTCCCATTTTTAAAACATTGATACATGGAATAAAGTAAAACAAAACAATGTTAGTAAGTAGAGAGTTTAGGAGCTATGTATCTATTGCCATAATTTTTCCCCAAGTCAATTATTTTCCTCTTTCTTTCTATCTTTCTATCTTTCTATCTTTCTTTCTTTCTTTCTTTCTTTCTTTCTTTCTTTCTTTCTTTCTCTCTTTCTTTCTTTCTTGAGAGAGACAGAAAGAGAGACAGAGTGCAAGCTGAGTAGGGGCAGAGAGAGAAGGGGACACAGAATGCGAAGCAGGCTCCAGGCTCTGAGCTGTCAGTGCAGAGCCCTATGTGGGACTTGAACTCATAAACTGTAAGATCATGACCTGAATTGAAGTCAGCTGCCCAACCAACTGAGCCCCTCAGGCACCCCAAGTCAAATATTTTTTAAGGAAATCTTAAACACATTTATCCTATCCCCACTATTACTAGGTCCCACCATCATTTCTATCTCACCCCATCCTGCTACCCTACTCACTAAACTAGTGGTCTGTACCTAATGACTCATCTTTAACTAAAATATTTAATTGGTCTCTCTATAAATCAGGCAATTGTAAAATGGCTAGAATGTCAATTTATTTAAATAACATTACTTTCCATAGCAATATGACATCAACAGGAATGATTGAACCATCACAAAAGAAAATATATATCAGTAATTAAGCTAGTCAAAATGAACACAAGTATTATGGTCATTTTGTGCCTATAGAAATGGTCTCAAAGTTTGTCAATTAACAGATATTCTTTGACACAAAGAAAAAATATATTAACACACTATATATTAGCTCTGCGATTCTGCTTTGGTGGATGTTTATTCTTGAGCATGCATGATCAGTGGTGTTTAGGTGACCAAGTTGTTTATTTTAAAATATTTATTTAACAAACCTCAGTATTAGTTGGGAAACGGCTCTCTGAAGCCAGTAAATACACTCTGGAACCTCCATTAGAAAGATTGAAAGTCAGAGACTCTATGAAAAAGAGAAGGCAATGGAAGGCTTGTATTGTTTGAATAGGTAACATTCCCATCAGGAAAAATAACACTCTGATTTGGAAATACTGAGAATGGCTATTGAGACAAACTAGGATATGCACAACTAAACTCTACTGGGAAGAAATACATCAATCACTCTGGGGCGCCCGGGTGGCTTAATCGGTTAGTGTCTGACTTCATCTCAGGTCATGGTCTTATGGTTTGTGGGTTTGAGCCCCATATTGGGCTCTGTGCTGACAGCTCAGAGCCTGGATCCTGCTTCAGATTCTGTGTCTCCCTCTTTCTCTGCCCCTCCCCTGCTCGTGCTCTGTCTCTCTCAAAAAATGAATAAAGCATTAAAAATTAAAAAAATATATTATATATATTTAAATATATATAATCTGGAAGTGGGTGAAGGTGGAGATTGCAAGAGAAGGGTCATTAAGAGAATTTTCTGGGGCAATGATATTGTATTATATCTTGAATTGATGGTGGGTTACTTAGTTACATGGATTTGTCAAAACTTGTCAAATAAGACACTTGATATCTGTACATTGCCTTTTATTTTATTTTTAGTATTTTGATAGGGATTGTATTAAATCTACAGATTGCTTTAGGTTATATGAACATTTTAACAATATTTTTCCTTCAAACTATGAGCATAGAATATTTTTCCATTTCTTTGTGTCATCTTCAATTTCTTTCATCAATGTTTTATAGTTTTCAGAGTATGGGTCATTCACCTTCATGGTGAAGTGTATTCCTAGGTATTTTATTATTTTTGATGCAATTGTAAATGGGCTTGTGTTCTTAATTTTTCTTCCTATTATTTCATGGTTAGAGTAAAGAAATGCAACAGATTTCTGTATATTAATTTGGTATCCTGCAACTTTACTGAGTTCATTTATCCATTCTAGGGTTTTTTGGGTGAAGTCTTTGAGAGTTTTCAGTGTAAAGTATCATACTTTCTGTGAAGAGTGAAAGCTTTACTTCTTCCTTACCAAATCTAGATGCCTTTTGCTTCTTTTTTTGTCCAATTGCTGTGGTGAGGACTTCCAGTACTATATTGAATACAAATGGTGAGAGTGGGTATCATTGTCTTGTTCCTGATCTTAGAGGAAAAGCTCTCACTTTTTCACCATTGAATACGATACTAGCTGTAGTTTTTCAGATACAGCCTTTACTATATTGAGGTATGTTTCCTCTCAACATTCTTTGTTGAGATTTCTTTTTTTTCTATTGTGAATGGATATTTTACTTTGTCAGGTGCTTTTTCTACATCTATTGAAATGATCATGTGGTTTTTATCCTTTCTCTCATTAATGTGATATATCACATTGATTTATAAATATTGAACTGTTGTGTATACCTGGAATAAATCTCATTTGATTATGGTGAATGATTTTTTAAATATATTGTGTGATTCAGTTTGCTAATATTCCCCTGAGGATTTTTTCATCTAAGTTTATCAGAGATAGGATGCATTCTTGTCTTTCTTTTTTTTGTGGTGTCTTTATCTGCTTTTGATATTGGGGTAATGCTAGCTTTGTAGAATGAGTTTGGAAGCTTTCTTTCCTTTTCTATTTTTTCAAAGAATTTGAGAAGGATAGGTATTAACTCTTATTTAAATGTCTGTAGAATTCACTTGTGAAGCTAGTTTACTTTATTTTTTAATTTTATCTAAAAATGTAAACATATATTGAACTCCAGTTAATGACAAGTACCCCAAAGTTGTTAGGGGTATCATTCAATGATACCAGCAATCTACTATTATATATACTAAAAAGATTGGGCGCCTGGGTGGCTCAGTCTGTTAAGTGAAGTCGATTTCAGCTCAAGTCATGAACTCATGGTTCTTGGGTTTGAGCCCCGCCTTGAGCTCTGTGCTGACAGCTAGCTCAGAGCCTGGAGCCTGT